TACAATCTGCTGTTCGGTCTCTTAACGCTATAATGATATACACAGTCAAGCAGTAGACCAAGTTGATTCATAGACACCATTTTCCCTTTTTAATGAAATAAATATGTTTAACGTACGCAGGCAGTGAATAGACAAGCTACTAGCGCTGTTTGACGGGAGGGATGGGCATTCTGGCTTCTTCAATAATTTCCGATCACATCTAGGGACCCTTTTCGAGTTGAACACGTGTGTAGACGTATTTACCAGATACATTTCGTAAAACCCGGAACCAGGAAGCAATCTATAATATCAAAATTACCCCGCCCACGCCGATGATCACGCGCCAAAGTTACTTGAGTAATGGACATGTTGACTGCTACGTCGCATTACACTTGATGTTTTCATTCCCCATATCGTGAGCAGAATCAGTCTGTGCATTGCTAGCTAAAATAAACTGTTTATTAAACCCATGACCATGACATATTTTGAAATCTTTCAATTGCTGATAAACTGTAATACTTTCTATCTGGAAGCTATATCAAGTGCTTGTGGTGTATAGACAATGTAGTCTTTTATACTGGTTCACGTGAAGTAAGGGGCGATTGTCCCGGAATTTCCCACTGCTGTGTGTACAAAATAGGTTTCTGGTGACCTTATTAGTTGTTACGAGTTGCTAGGTAGTACGTTTAGGAGCATATGACTGTAGCTGGTAATCTAGCAATTGCTGCAGTATTTGCCCGTATCTTCTGCTGTTCTGTCAGAAGGACGTATGCTCTGTCAAAAACAAGGTCTCGAGCGCGCCAGTACCCATGAAATGAAAGGGCTTCCAAGAAAGGGGATATTGTGAAAAAATGTACTGTTGAAGCAGACTAAAAAAATCCTTAATGTATAAGGATAAAAAGACTGTGAGTGACGAGCTGGTGTGTTGTTATCCTCCTAGAGGAGACTGGCAATAAACTACCGCCTCGCGGTAGAATGCTCGGGTTGTTTGAGAAAGGCCAATCCGTGATTTGACCGCTTACAAGTAGACATAGAGGCAGATGTTACAAGAGGTGAATAGTTTTAATTTTTGATGCACAGTTCTTTTATGATGGAGTGCTTTAATTCGGTCAACATTTCGAGCAAATCTTGTGTGACCGTGAGGAATTTGCTCACAAGCCTGGTTCCCAGATTCAAAACGCCTTGCCTGTCCAATCCAAACATCATTTTATCGCATTTATACGGTAAACTTTCTTTGTGTGTCATCCAGGTCGTGACTAGTTACAGTGGATTCCATCACCAAGCCTTTCTCTAATTTATGTCTTCTTCTTTTTTTCTTCCCTTTCGAACTTATCGCTTCCATCGCGATAGCACTGAAACCTTTCCATCCTGAATTGTAGCGCAATCTTGCGCTCCCACTCCTTCTTGTACTCCATCACATTGGGAGGCGTCAAAAAGGACAAACGATATTTGCTCGATCTCCCTATGCGTGCGAGGGTGCAAAGGTGATCCTGAAGACAAGGGGACGATGGAAAGGTACGGACAACACGCTCATCGTACGAAATAGGTGCTGATCGACACAACCATTAAAACAGCACGTAAACGTGCGGAAATCCCTATGTAAGGCCCGGCCACATTCTAACGCCATAAAAGTTTGCGGCACACCACGTCTTCGAAGGATAAACAGCTCAAAATGTGTACGAACCTCACAGCGCATTCCACCTCCGTTGATTCAGTTGGTGGCTAATACAGAAACCGATACATATTGCGGCAACGGTATCGTAAACTCACGCGTACATGGCAACGGTATCGTAAAGTCACGCACACTATGTGTGCCTAATATCGGATCGCGAGACTTTCACGACGAGACATTCAAAGTGTACATACTGTGATTGGAATTGTCCACATCTTCACTGTATTACCTCACTTCGACGTACTTTCCAGAGATTGGCCACTGCCTGGTCCACTGCGAACGTGAGCTCTTCATGCTAGGAACGGGGAAAAACGCCAAGTAATCATGTACCGTGTCTTACAAGGGAATGGTTTAAACTTCCCATGGAACTTTGAATGGAGACCTAGGTACATCGATAGAGCCTCGAATGCTGATTACGAATATGCAGATTAAAAGTGCTACGGGGACCCAGACGAGATGTGGGTGGTAAGGTTGGGTTCTATCTGTAGGTGCTGATCAACGCCCGTGGCAGTGACGCGGCTGGTGTAAACTGGTTTGCTTTTCAGGTCAAACGCATTAGGGGATTTGCATGCGTTGAGCGAAAATTTTTGCTTCGCTTCTTGATAAGGCTTAACTACATTTGAATTCTGTCAATGGCAGAAGTAGATCAAGTAATGCAAAGGTAACGAAGTAACTCGATCTAGTATGGATTTGGTCCATATGCCTTTCGAACATATTTACATCGCCAATTGAAAGTATTTGACCAGAATCGATTGGGACGAGGGTTTTTTTCTCGAGGAAGTGTATCGTGTTCAGGGGGTCGAAATCTCCCATGAACGAATTTCTCGCTGAAACTTTGAATTGTCGGATGGGTAATATGTTCAGAGAGAGCAGATATGACCAATCCCATACTAGATCGAGTATGTCGTATACTTGATGCACTTGATCTACTTGCCTGCTGGGCCGTAATTCGAGATTTCCGAAAATTAGAGTTTGAGCTATTTATACGGGGAGCAGAAAAAACTTCGCTGCAACAGGATTGCAAACGTATGGCAGGTTGATTGGAAGCGAGACATTTCTTGAGGGAATGGATGGCACTGGAGGAAGCGTCGTTAGAACGTTACGAGAGAACTTCAAACTTTGATGCCAGTTCGTCTGGGAAGTCGTAGCAATTTTGAATGCATATTGTATCAGCATTCCCAAGGGCTATATTATGTACGCTAGGTCGATTCAAAGTTGATGGGAATTAAAACCCATATTTGTTAGATGCAATATGCCAGGAATAGTTAATTATATGATTCATAGGCCGCCTGTTCTAAAAGGGGTGATTTTAAATATCAGAGCAACGCCAATGAACTCATTAAAGTAGCGCTTTTCAAGTTTGCTAATAGGTGACATACTGTGGAAGATACTGTTTGACGGTGCCCAATACTTCCACTACAGTTGATCGTGTTTTCACAAAATTCTGTCATGCTATATCTGTGTACCAACAATTGCATATTTGATTTTATTCATGTTAGTTTCTGATGAATAGGTTGAGTGAGGTATCAAAAAAAATATATGAGAAGTAGTTAAAATACAAGTTGAAAAATTGTTTGTTACATTAAAAGTGAAATAGCTAGAAGTCGATCAAGTCTAGAAAAGATAAGTATATAGTATAAGAGTAGCCCCGTTTGTTAATGCGATAAAAGAGAAGATACAGCTGAAACAAACGCCTTCACTGGAATGAAAAAATGTTGTCCCTATGTCAGATTTGCAAAGGCTATCCTCTATATTAGACAGAAAAGAGAGAATAATGTGTTTCTAAATGATGTAGTTAAATGAAGCGCGCGAGAACGAGCGGACACTTTCACGAGGAAAAAACAGAAGGAAAACGGGGAAAAGGGGATTCGAGTAAGAGGGAATCAACCAAGGATTGAGTGAGTTAGTTAGCCGTTATTTACTTCCACTTCACTGCAATTTAGAAATCCACTAAAACACTTTTTCAATATCTTTCTTCGAGACAACGCTAAGCGGACCCTGGCTTTCGTACGCTTCCAGGAAAAAGGTCACTTAGTTCAGCTACTGCATACCTCCTCCCACCTTTAAATACAGTAGCGTCGAGAGATTTATCCAAAAAACTTCAGACCTTCAGTAAATCAATGGATTAGAAATTGGCGCTAGTGCGGTTGCGGAGGACTGTCAGTCGACAACTCAGGTTGGTTTGCACCTTGCAGGAGGAACACCGTGATCCCTAAAGAGTCCCGGCACAGTTAGGCAGAAAACGGGTACGGCCAAGTTCCAATTATTGTTTCCCGTGAAACTGCCCTAGCACCTAGAAGGTTGGAATCAATCACAAAGCAGCAAAGCAGTGCGGTGGGAAGAACTTTCGCATTACCGGCCACAATAGGGAAAAGAAGAGAAGGAGGAAGAGAGGAAAAAAGGTCGTGAAAAGACGTTCAACTACAAACGACTAACTACCGTGATTCTACTAACTACCATGATTATTTATATCTGAAGAAATTACTATAACAATGAAACAAAGCTGGCAAGAAGCTCTCCCATCGAACTCAAATGAAGCAAGAAGGACGGGAGCTTGGGGCGAATTCCACGACAACAGTATGGGCACTGTTTGGCTCAATAGGGCACTTCTCCAGTTTGTAATTTCTTCATTTTTCTCGCGCTAGCAAGACAGTAAACTCTTATAAGTTTACTAAATGGTTCATATGGTAGAAATAGCTCTGAAAGAAAACACACGTCTTGAAAAAGCTGCACGCACGAGCTTTGCTGAGTGCCATTTCATAACTTGACAGGAGTTTTCACAGGTCCACCTCGATAGCAACCAGTAAGTTATCCCCGCCTTAATCCGAGTAGCGTCGCATTATGTGGGGAAAAAGGTTTCGAGTATGAAGGCGCAGGGCCCACTCGTCTGTAAAAAAGATGAGAGAAAAAAACTAGAAACACTTTCGCAGAACTCCTTTTTGCAGCTAATTGGAAATATTGTCCAACCTCCCCGCGAAAAAAATTGGCACTCTAATTAGAGAGCATACTTTACAGGCAAGAGAGTAGAGAGGGCTGACGCCGAAGGAGTGTTCATCATGTCATGGGTAGATTGTTTATGAACGGGTAATCGCCACAGGAAAAACGTTCCCTGCTGCCCTGCCGCCCAGCTTTGACATCCACAGACCCGTTTACATTACTTACGAGAGTGGTGTTCCATTGAGCTAACCGTGGAATTCGCCTCTTATTGGGCAAGAATGAGTAGCTAACAATCTAATGATCAAAGATCTTCCAGTAGTAGAGAAATGGCAAGTATTATGGCAATATAGGCACATTTTGAAGCAAAAAAATACACCAAGAAAGAAAGCAAGTTAAGGTACGCTCGCTAGAACTAAAGTTTCACTGTTGATGGGAGATTAGAACCTATGGTAGATGCTGTTTGGCTGCGAGAAGCGCGACTTATCCCGTTTCCCACTTCTCCGCCAGAACCATCTGACGACTTTTCGAATACTCGTGACGAACCATAGGCCATCGCTTGTTTCAAGCCAATTATCGTCAAGAATATGCGGCGTATCTGAAAAGAGAAGAATAATGATTCACGAAGCCTCCACAGCGATACTCTCATTGCAATGATTCGAAGCAAGTCAGGACAAAGGGAGAAGCTGGCACTGTTTACCCTACCAAATCCCGCTTTCAGAAATCTGAGTCAGACTCCAACTTTGACGAATATTGTTCCCGAAGACGGATTGATCCCGTGAGCACGATCATCAAATCTCGTTTGAACATGCCGGCATTCCAGGAACCACAGCCCAACTTGTCGCCATATCATTCAGTGCTCAGGGAGTCAAACTAACTTCGAGAACGAATATCTGGCCAACATCACGTCCAGGGACGAATCTCTGGGGAGGGTAAAGGGTAAAGAGTGTCGGAAAGTCTCTGGAAACGCCTACTACTCAAGCAATTTTCAATGGGTGAGCTGATAACCTCTTTTTTGTCTCCTCCCATGACGTCGTTTTCTCACGGTGATACTTGCATTGTAGCTTTTCTGCTTCGTGAGCAGACAAACAGGACCTATTTTACGAAGACTTGAGTTGGCCGTGCTGCCTATTGTTAACTTTTCTTGTGAACTACAAGGTATTTCAGGGCAAGGTAAACTGGGTAAGGTTAGAGATAACCCTAACGCTCCCTCGGGCGCTGTCAGTGCGTGCACTGCGCAAATGAAAAAAGGGCTTCTGTATATCGTTGAGCTGTCATGATTTTTCTTCAGCGTAGAAAGGATTCGCTCAGCATTAATAGCCAGAACTAGGCGATAGTGTCCCGCACATCTGTGTGAGTGTGGCATCTTCGTCGAAGAAGAACTCGGCAGAGTTCGGCGAGGGGGTGGGGGGGGGGAATTTCCACTCTAGTTGGTCCACTAGTTCCGAATTACAAGTCCCTGGCACATGTGAACTTTTGTGAAGCTGGAGCAAGCTTGTTAAGCAATCATGCTAAAGCTCGTCAACCCTAGAAGAGGCTGTCTACATGGGCCGAAACGTCGATAGGAAATATCAAAAAAGCAAAATGATCCGGTCGCCGAACTGCCCCGACGAATTGTATTATCATCTCCATGCATCCTAGTCCTTCCCATGAGGTGTGTGACGTGAATGGATCCGCAGCTGCAGTAACGTGCTACTTTCTCCTCTTAAAATTGCACGGCAATAGAGCTGCAGGGTGATGACACCCGGATACCGTTCCCACATTCCACTCGCACCACGACGCGGCCGGCCAGGCGCTTAGCCTTAGCCAAACGCATTACTTGCCAGCGGACTCTCTGTTCGTTACCGCTGAATGGGTGTTTCGTTGAAGGATCTTAGTATCTACACAAGTGTGCACCTTGACGATAACCCGGGTGGAACATAGAGAAGGCGCTCCGGTACCGCTCCCTCCTACCCCGTTCTCGGGCATCTTTGAGCAGAAGTGGCACACCACGACAGCTGCAAGGACCTTCCCATAGAGGTGATTGTCGCCGTAAGGAGAGCTTCACATGTTGGAGGAGCTACTGAATCGCTGCGTCAGTTTGATTCCAGAGGCACCGAGAAAGCGCATTTTTGAAAAACATTAATGTCTAGTGGTTTTACCTGGAGATCGGTTGCGAAAGACAGTATTGGATCGACGATGATTCGCAGCATCAGAGTGCATCGAACGATTGCAAGAATTCGCATCATTTCCGGATAATTACGTTGGAAAAAGCATTGGTCTTGGTTTATTAATAGACCGGCGCACCTGAACAACTCATATCTTGAACTCTTGTTCATTTGGAGTATTATACGGCTCACAAAAGGCCACTTTAACTCCAAAAAGCCAAGCTTGACCTCAATGATCGTGTTAATTACAGATATTACGATAAAGTGTGAAATTTAACTGACCAAATGGCATAAAATAAGTAGAGTACAGCAAAGGTGCCAACGTTGAGTGCGAGTTTCCACAGTGGAAATCGTACCCGCCTGCCTCCTTCAGACTTTGTGGAATCTCTCTTTTTGAATGAGTCCACGAATTTCCTGGGCGCGTCGAATCAGCAGGACTGAAAGCGGCGAGTTTTCCATAAAGAAAAACCAATAAAAGTTAGTAATAAATATGAAATGCCAGGATAGATCACATCGGGTTGATGAGCGGCAAAGATCGTATAAGATATGAAACGCTAAGTGTTGGGAAAATATACGGCTACTTAGGTAAGGCGCGTTCTTAACTCTCAAGTGCAACCATTGTTCCGAGAAAAAAGCAGCGAATGCTAGAAAATAGTTGGTAACAACTAGAGCCGAAAACGAGGGAAACTTCTTTGAAATTACTCTATGATAGAGCGTCACTGGCTGGAAAGGAATTTTGAGAAATATTCATTCACAAATTCGCATGATTTTTGGGCTCACCTGTAGAGAAGAAAACAACTAGTGTGAAGGCGTACACAGTGACCGTGAAGAAGTTGCGTGTTCTGAAGGCGTGTGTTTATGAAAGAAGAGCAAAAAAGGACCATGTTGGGAGCTTTAAATTACTGATAGGGAAGAATCTATAATTCCTCACCTGTACATGTTTCTCAGACAAGTCTCCATTTTACATCCTGACCACTCATTTAATGCAGGAATTTTCACCAGCGCCGAAATACTTAGGGTATAGCTGATCATCAGAATGAACATCACCCAACTGAAAAAATAATCCGATTATTTCGAGTACTGATAAAGGCAAGTGGCACGATAAAGCGACAAGGCATACAGGGTCAATACGGCCAGCACGAAAGAATATTGCGCCCATTACCAGGTGCTCAGAAGGACCTTCTCCAATGAAGGGCATCGTTTTAGCGCCTAACAAATGTGGCGCTATAAGCAACATGGCGACCTAGACGCCCACCACAACCGCCCGCCCACAAGAGCCGCACAGTCACATAGAGCCCTGGCACTCTTATCGCTTCAGTCATGAGTTACAACTTACATGAAGTGTGCTACATGGATATATGGATACGTTCGTGCACAGGACACGATGACAACGAAAACTCGTCCAAAAATGCTTGTCCTATGCCTGTGCAGGGCAAAGGTTTTTCGCAGGTTTTTGACCTCTAACTTCGCTTTTTCATGATTTTTTCTGCTATATAGCACCCCTACTGCTTTTGAGCAAGTACCAAATTATCGTGCCATAAGTTTAAACAACATTCCATAATAATGGAATGACGGCGAACTACTGTGATTACACATTAGCGCACTCAACTTCCTGGGTGGTAAAGTGGGGGGAGAGAGGGAGGGGCGCTCACGAAATGGCGTACCGTTTTTGCCCACGTTGAGAGGTTTCTCTGTACAGATCTCGGGAGACGGTAAAGAGGATCGTAATTCGCCGCACCGCCACGCGCGGCGATGGGCGCGGCGTTTTCATAACTCGTTTTAACCTGTCGAATGAAGCACCGGACTTCATGTAGACCCGTCATCGTAGACACTCATTACTGTTTTCGGTCCTTAATTGCATGTTGTCGCCATCTACTGCCTGAAACCATCGTCCTTTGCGGGCGGGACGTCGCACGCGACGCAGCGCGGCAAATTACGATCCTCTTGTCACATACCCCAAGATCTCGAGCCATCGACAGGTGCAGGCGCTTCAATGCCAAGCGGAGGAAGTTAGTCGTCAACCTTTTGGGTTGTATGAACGATCTTCATAAAGTTTAAATGGTTAGAAGAATGAGTAGAGTCTCATGACCTTCGGACCCTCGTCTTTAATGAGACCTTCTATTTAATCTATAAGAATGAAGGGCGCACCAATGAGGATGACCAATTGACTGGGTGTCTCCGCCTCAGGCACGCCATTGCGTTGTGATCATTTCCTGAAAAATACGACCCCCCCATATTTCCATTTTCAAAGTACGACCCCCCTCCCCACCCATGTTACCTCTTCCCTAAATTTTTCCAACCTCCTACCACTTTGTCTACTTTTTCCCAAAAAATTTCTGGTTTTTTTTTTTACACAAACTTTGCTGTCGAGCGGAGGGGGTGGGGGGGTCGCAGTAACCTACGTACGTCCCAAGCACGTCCAGCACTCTGGCGCTGTATATTGACAATCATTGCATATTGACAATACGTACGAGGAAGGGGCGATGATAGGAGCTACGATCACCGCCCACAAGGGCACCATGAATTTATAAACAAACAAAGGACTCACGACATGACGATTAATAAACAAATGAAAGTACATTCCCGGACTTTTCTTATTGCAGGAGCATATTTGCTTGCAATTGGGAAGCCCTATCTAGAAGTTACACCTTTCAAACACCTGCGTGAAAGCCCCATGCATGGCGCATTGCATATGTGATGCCAATTGGCGCCCAATGGCCTATTACCTGATATGCTTGACGAAAACATGTGTTTCAGAAGCATACCAAAGTCTTCAAGCCAACTGGAGGTTTCCTGGCCTCGGAGGGTTGATTTTTCGGTGTCGGTGCAGGTGCCGATGTGATTACAAAATTGATCACAACGGGTAATTTTTTCGGTAAGTAGTAGGTCCAGAAGCGGAAATTAAAAACTTTGCTGGAAAGTAGAAATCTTCAAGCTTCCGGCACAGTTCTTTTTTTACGAAAGGTCGTGTATGAAGCTTGCCATGGACGTCCAAAGCGTAGCGACTCGCGGTTCGCAAAAATGATCACAGACGGATCACAAAGATGATCACAACGGGGAAAATCTCTGGAACCGGAACGTTTTTGAAATCGCTCAATTCAGGTGATAAGAGCCAACCTAGCTCTACTCATTCCCACTTACCCCTCTCCGATAGCTTCACTTTCAACGAAGTTATGGGTGTTCAAATGAGGGGTACTTTTCACGTGTTTGGCTTGAAATTGGCTCCAGGCCGTAAAATAGCGCGCACCAATGAGCTTGTATGAGCGCGCTGACCGCGAACAGCCAAAATTCAAAAGTAATCCATAGTTCCGGTTCCCAGCTGGCCTGGTGAGTTTTTTTTTCTTATCCATTTCATCCTTTCTTTGATTGTGAATTACTTTGATTGTTTGTTTTGTTGAGTTTGATTTGTTTTGTTGAGTTTGATTTTGTTGTGAGGAAATTGCTCAGGATTCAATTTCTACGGTTTCATAGGTAGCTTTTGCAATGGATTCTTTTCTAGATTTTGCGGATTAGTGGATTGGACTTATCTAGACCAGATGGGGAGGGTTGGTGGGCGAAGTGTCTTGAAGTTTTTTGTGAGGAAGGAGGAAAAATTTTCAGCAATATTTTTTTTTAGTTCTTGGCCTAGGAATAGTTCGATAGTGCCTAGTTTTGTTTATTACCATCTACATCGTCCCTTTTGAGCTTCTTTTCACTTGTACCGTGTATCACCGCTCTCTCCACTTCAACATGGGCCATGCGTTTACGACCCCCCCCCTCCATCGCCTGCGCCAAATAACGACCCCCCCGTTGTGATGATCAAACAGAATGGCTGCCCTGCTCCGCCTGTCTAATTATAGCGGCAATTGTCTTTGAATGTTTCCTCTTTACCGCATCAGAAATACCCCAGTTCTACAGTAACCTTGAATCTAAGCAGCTAGAAATCTGATTTTCTGGGCGGCAGTACAGAAGTAATCTGGACTACGGCCAAATAAAGAAGTTTCAGTCTTCCTACCTGAAAATGATCAAGTTGATGCAACGTTTCATAGTGAACCATTTTCGGTAGTGGAATGGCTTCCATACAGCAAACAACTGAAATCACATCAATAAAGAAAGTGCAGTGTACAGTAAGAGCAGGCATATGGTCAAACCTTAAGCACTGAGAGAGCAACATAGGAAATCATCGCTGACCAAAATGATCCTATGAAGAATGACTCCAGTAAAATGACCATATCACGGCTGAAAGTAAGCCAGTACTCGATGCTAGTTCATGTCCCACAGTGACAACCGGTAAAACAAATAATAAATGGAACGGTATGTGTCCATATAAAGTCTAGGCTCTGGGCGAATACTCAGGTTGTAGAGCACTAAAATCTTCGTCGCTTCATCATGCTCAGGTGTCCTTTCGGTCTTTAGGGTAGCCTTCAGACTTAGTGAAGACGGGCTAAGAGAGCGTGGACGCGCTGCTTCGCGCTACGACACGCTGTCATTGCAAAAGAGCTCCGATGCTGTGGGCGGGAGAGCAGCCGTAGACAAGCCTCGATCGGCGCCGGCCGCTAGTGTTTTGAGAGAATAAAGGATAATAGGAGAGTGAACGTTGCCTAAAGAAACAGTCTGGTATCGTTCAACGCTGGTAGCGACTTTGGGAAACTATAGGGGAATAGGACCGCTGATCCTTCTCACTGGAGTGCCATTGCAGTGGTAGCTCACCGAAGCACGGTAAGGTGCGTCCACGGCGCTTCATCGCGGAATTTGATTGCTGACTTAGCATTTCAGGTTCAGGTTCGATCCTTTTGAAATACCACTCAAAAGAGGAGCAGTCCTCTCACCCCAAATGAGTGCTGGATTGCGCCTTGATTTCATGGTCTGCGATTTGAGACCCTGATGTCCACCCCCCCCCCTTCCTCGCGCGGATCTACGACGAATAGGAAAGAGCAATGTCTACCTCTCCGAGTGATAAAGAAGTACCTCACTAAAGTAAACGCCACGCCTGGATGTCTTGGATAGGTTGGAGTGGCAACCTCTACAAAAAGTGGGGACCCCGCCATGGCGCGAGACCAACGCTTGCAGCTTTGACTGTAGATAACTATAAACTATAACTGTAGATTCTGCTTCTATTAGTACAGCACTTACTTTATTTCGTGCCAAAGTAACACGTAAGCACAGACAATCAAAGCGACGATACAAGAAATCAGGTCGCCAATTGCTCTGTTTAACAACAGAATGTAGCATTTCCGACTGACCACTCGAACTTTGATGGCCTGAAACCATTATAGGAAGTTTGTTTATACCTAATCATAGTGAAAAAGAATGAGGTGATTCGTACCCGGTATGTTGCCAGTATGAATAGCGAAACGAGTAGAGCTCCGAGTAGTGCCAGTGGTAACATAACCCAACCAAAGTACGTTCGGAACACATTATCGATGCGAAGACCTTGACGACGCTGAAAATTTCGAGAAATATTTAATCATTTTGTGTGTGAATAGG